ACACAAACCCAGCCGAGCGAGGGGTGTTTGCGGGGGGCGGACTCCTGGGGTGACCAGGGGTGGGCAGCTGCCTCCGCAGCCTCCTGACAGCTGTGCCCGCCGGCGCCTGCCCCCCCCCCCCCCCCCCCCCCCAACTCCCAGGGCCCACGGAAATCCCCCCCCCGACAAAAAGGAAAATAATTCAGCCTCTTGACATAACCCTTCTGAACAAAAGGGCTTTTTTTTTCTTCTGCTCATAAAAGAAGGGAATTTCCTCATCTGGTTTTTACACCAAACACTAGTAGTCTTCAGGGGGTCAGAGGTGTCCCGGGGTTACAGGGGGGGCAGGTCAGTTGGTGTCCATGCTGCAGGCCGCCTCCTCCCCCAGGCCCTGCTGGGAGCTGCTGGGTCGCGTTCCTCCATCGGAGGAGCCAGGAAAGCCGGCGAGGGAAGGCGTCGCATGAAACTCATCGTCTCGACGTTGGTAGAACAGCACGTAAGCTGCTTTTGTCTAAAACACGAGAGGGGAGACGTCCATTACTGGCTGGAAAATCAGCCGTCCTGCCCAGTTTCTCTCGCTGTTGAGCTCGCACTCAGGGATCTGCCATGCTGTTACGCATTTCTCATTGTTATAAATACATGGGTATCTTTGTGCATAAAGCTTTCCCCAATGTCATTTCCTTAGGATAGACTCCCAGAGATGGGATAATTGATTAGAGAATATGAAAATCATAAAGAGGGGAAGCAGGTATTGTGGCTCACTCACCACTATCTGATCCTCAGAGGCCAGGGACACGTTGCTGTCGTCAAAGTAATACCATTTCCCGTTCAGTTTGTTTTTCGCGTACGCAGTGTCTGCCAAGCCAAAAGGAAATACTCTAGCCGCCACCAGAGAGCTGACCTGGCCAGCTGACCAGGCTTGCACTAAACAAGACTCCAAACAATGACAAATACAGACCCTGACACTAGAAGTAATTTACAGCTTGTGTCTTAACAGCCAAAAATAACTCATTCCGTTTTAAAAAGCTCAAAAGGGCTTGAAGAGGATAAAAATGGAGCTGTCAAGAACCAACACTTTAATTTTGGGAAACAATTTTAAAAAAGGGTGAACCCCCTGTCCATGCCCACGATGTCTACTGCTGCCCTCTGCCTCTGAAGCCTGGCAGACCCGGGGAGGGACACTGGGCGTCTGGGGTGTTGGCAGAGCTCGGATGTGGACAGACTTCAACCCATCTTTCTCGACAGCTGTGAGTCAAGAGCCCGTGGCTGGGTAACAGCTCCTCACAGTGATCCAGCAGCCCCCACAGACAGCACTTCCTGTCTTGATTTTGTGCTATTTCTAAGCAGGACGTGTTTACAACAGCAATGCCAACAGCCATGCCCAATTCCTGCTCCACCCAGGCTCCCAGAAATGACAGTGCTGAAATGGAATTGGCACCTCCATGGCATCATCTCCTGGGGTCCTCACTGGCTGTGGTGGCAGGAAAGGGGTAGGAGGAAACACAGCTCCTCACCTCCCCATTACAAACACCTTTCCATAAACACGTAGAAAATGGACCAGCTCTTTTTGTTAAAAACGCAAACCCACACACATATAGAAGTTTTGGAAAACATCGTAGAGCAAGGAGGAAAAAGTAAAATTAGCATCTTGGTGTGTCTCCTCCGAGGCTTCCCCAACCCCAGTTTCCTTGCCTTTGGTTTTCTTTTTTTCTTTTTTAAAAATATTTTATTGATTTTTTACAGAGAGGAAGGGAGAGGGATAGAGAGTTAGAAACATTGATGAGAGAGAAACATTGATCAGTTGCCTCCTGCACACCCCCTACTGGGGATGTGCCCACAACCAAGGTACATGCCCTTGACCAGAATCGAACCTGGGACCCTTCAGTCTGCAGGCCGACGCTCTATCCACTGAGCCAAACCAGTTAGGGCTGCCTTTGGTTTTCACATAGTTGTGACACCACCTTCCATAAGGATGCGATTCTGTGGTTTCACAGCCTGTCACGGCATTTGCCTTTACTGTGTTGTGCGATGGACAGCGTGCCAGCTCCTGATCACCATGCAGTTACTGATTCTTCACTGTTATAAATACCCAGAGGCCTGCCCCCGGCTGCCGGCACCGGCTTCCCTCTGGCACCCGGGACCCGGGCTTCCTTCGCAGCCCCGGCTTTGTCCGGAAGGACGTCAGTCTAATCAGCATATTACGCTTTTATTATTATAGATGAATATCTTTGTGCATAAAGCTTTCCCCAATATAATTTCCTTAGGACAGATTCCCAGAGATGGGATTATTGGATTAAAATATGAAAATCAGCCTGGCACGGTGGCTCAGTGGTTGAGCATTGACCTATAAACCAGGTCACGGTTCGATTCCCGGTCAGGGCACATGCCCGGGTTGTGGGCTCGATCCCCAGTGTGGGGCATGCAGGAGGCAGCCGATCAATAATTCTATCTTATCATTGATGTTTCTCTCTCTCTCCCTCTCTCTTCCTCTCTGAAATTAATAAAAATATTTTTAAAAAGAATATGAAAACCAAAAATATTTTGCAAATGAAGGGGCAACCGTATGGAAAAGGCCTGAGGCCCATGGAGCTGTGGAACACAAGTGCTTAAAGGCCATGCCTGGCAGCAGGAAGGGGCTCGAGAGAGCTGACGGGCAGAGGGCATTGGGCGATGTTAGAGGGAACGGATGCCGGTACTTACAGTGGCCAACCCCCATGGCTCCATAATGATTGGACACGGCAATGAGGTCATACACGTACGGCCTTGCCGATGGGTCACAGACAAACTCGGACATGTTCAGACCTCTAAGCACAAAACACAAAAACAGCCTTAACTACATTAAACTTAGAGCAAGTCAGGGTGACCCAGCAACCCCCTTA